CCCTCCCTCACTCTCCCTCCCTCACTCTCCCTCCTCTCCCTACCTACCCACCCACCCTACCCACCCACCCTCACCTTCATTCATCGAACTCAAGAGCTCATTGTACTCGACAAGAGGTGTTTTAGCTGTGCTATGATATCGAACTATCTCACTTGTTAACACTTGCCTGAAGGAGTGTAGGTTAGTCGCTGGTACCTTTGATGCAGCTGAGTGAGATATCAGGTAATCTCAAGGCATGTCACCTTTGATACAGTCGTAGATTAGTTGTTACTTGGTAGTTGAAATCGTCACAGCTGTCCTGGGTTGTACTTGTAATTATCTTAGCTTGTAAGTTAAACTAAACACACAGGTACTGTTCTCTTCACTTGTTGTTCCTTGGTTTAATGTTAACACACGTGGTGATTTTCTAGTTACATTGGGTTGTAATGTCTGTACAATTATTTGGTATTGACAGACTAATGAGCATTAGCTATTAGCTTGTAATTAGCTGATATAATGAGAGAGGGACAGCCTGGAGAGCTGGCCCACGACACGACTTAAGAGTATCATGCCGGGCTGTGAACTGGTGAGAACTGGGCTGTACTTTGGGCACTCCCCATCCTTGTGTAAGGTGAAGCGCATTAGCGTTTACAGTGCCCAACAGGGAAGCATGCTAAGTTCATGCTTGCCTTTATGTCTCATGAGTTAAGGGCGTAGAAGCCTGAAGAGTCAAGGGCGTAGAAGCCTGAAGAGTCAAGGGCGTCAGCGTAGGAAGAGTCCGTAGAAGCCTGAAGAGTCAAGGGCGTAGAAGCCTGAAGAGTCAAGGGCGTAGAAGCCTGAAGAGTCAAGGGCGTAGAAGCATGAAGTCAAGGGCGTAGAAGCCTGAAGAGTCAAGGGCGTAGAAGCCTGAAGAGTCAAGGGCGTAGAAGCATGAAGTCAAGGGCGCAGAAGCCTGAAGAGTCAGTGGTTTATGTCATCAAGTTATTGGAAGCTCCAACAACTCCCTGAATACGAATTCGCAACTTTCGACTTACAACAGGTACCTACTTTACTGCTAGGTGAACAGGGGCTAATGGGGGCTAGGAAGTAAGTCCAAACAACTTCCACCGGCCCGGGAATCGAACCCGTGACATCTCACTTAACACAGTCATTGTCTAAACAGCCTACCACACACTAAGGTTGAGTCTGTAGTTTTATGGGCTGTACACCCGAGGTGTGAAAGAACAAATGTTTATGGGCTGTCCACCCTAGAAGGTGACAGAACAAATGCTTATGTAGCTGTATACTCAATAGTCTGGGTGATAGAATGTATATAATGAATATATGTCCTCAGCCCATATTTATATAATATTAATGTGACAGAGACTAATACAGAGGTCATTGTACTCGATAAGAGTACATCGTACTCAAAGAAAGAGGTCATCGAACTTGAAGAATGAGGTCATCGAATTGAAAGGCTATGACATCGTATTCTAGATAACGATACAGATTTTTTCCTCAAATTTCGACCCAACACCAGGCACAGTCGGTCACAGGAATAAGTATACACACTGTAGCTGTAAGGTCCGAAAATGGTCTGGTAACGTTGAAACTGCGCATCCAGACGCATGATGAAACTCAGCTCCCCCCACCTGTTATCTCTAACTATTTTCTGTTTCCCCTTCATTATTCTTCTATTTACCCCTCTTCCTTCCTTTACCAATCCAAACATCAGTAAAAAAAAAGTAGGGTAAAGGTGGGGGACGAGGAGGGAGCTGTACTATAACTGCAATCCCATTCGGCAACAAGTTTACTACCATTGGATACAATGTTACTTGTAATATAAACACACAAAACACAAGTAAAACATTCACAACGAATGTATTTATAACATATATGTAGGAATAAAACATAAATTACAGGTCATTTTGTAATTTTGTGAGTGATACCAGATATTTTGTCTGAAACACAAACCGTAGGTGTATACTTATTCTTGAGGCCGACTGTACCCGCAACCAGAAGAGGACACAGGACAGCTACTGTCATCATGTTATGGACAGGTGTGGGCAACAAGTCAGGAGTCACACTTAACAAATAACTACATTACTGTTGATTTCTTAATTTTTTCTTCCATACCCTGGTATATTTTTGTTGATGTACTTTTACAGTATCTAATTTGGTTCGGGCAGCTTTACCTGTTTTCCGGCGACTAAAGTTTTACGTGAACTTGCCTAATATGACAACCAACTTCAGAAATTCCAGACCCATCCGGAGGCACTCATGCTTCATACAATATTTTTTTTTTAAATTAATAAAAAATTGATGTGCCGCTAATATGAAATATAATTTTTTTGTCGCTAATATTCGGATATCAAAAAAGGAGCATTTAGTAAATAATTAATTAGTTATCAAAACCCAAGTCATTTTTAACAAAGGAATATTCAGTAAAAAAAAATACGTACTGACAAAAATTTATTCCTGGACAACTCAAGAGGAATGACTCAGTATGGGGAGAAATTGAAAGAAACAGGAGAGATGGGAAGAAGTGAGCTGAAGCTACCTGTTACACGCTCCAACACCGAGATATGCCTCCAACATCACCTCTTTAAGTAACAACATGTTCCTAAATGGCCATAATCCAAAAATAATGAACACGGCTTTTAAAAGGTACAGGTTTATGAAGTTTGCTTTACGGCACAACTTTCTCTCGTGCTGGTCTGTGAGGTACAATATATAATTACTAAAACTCCACTTTTGTGACTGTCCGTGTGTAAACATTTACTACATTACGAATACAATAACATCTGTTGATAACCACAATGTACACACTGCCATTTTACATCATTGTTTATCAACTTGAATTACTGATTTGTATTAGTATTAAGCCTATAATAATTTACCTTGATATTCTAGTTTCTATAGTTGTCTCATCTATTTTCCAAGTATAAATCATTAGGCCTCATATGTATTATTAGAGTACGACTCATACATGATCTGAACAGATGCGCGATGGTGTAATTAAACCTTCACTCACGTCACCTACAGTATATACGCCCCACTTACCAGATGTGACACCTGCTCGTGAGTTTCTATCAATATAATTTTCTTATGTTGCTAGTGAAAGACTGAACACTGCTATTTGTTTTTCCCTGTAACTCAGGAAGGAGCTTCGCTTTACAACCTTTGAGGTCGTTCAGGAAGTTTATAGGCTGTCTGCTCCGGTACAGTAACCTGCGTGTTAGACGACTTGGGAAGTAGTGTCTAGGGATACAGTATGTGTCAGTTTAGCCGCTGCTGATGTATCCAGTCCTACTGCAAATTAAAATGCGGCAGTTGAGAGGCTTCACACTACACTATTAGCCTTCGTGACGTGATACCTGTCTCAGCTTGGTTGTGTGGGTCTGTACTCACAACTTAAGGCCTTACATCAACACCCCCTCCCCCCTCATCCTTGGGGTTTGGATACATCTACCAGCTGTATTCTCGGTCCTCTTTGGTGAACTTAATTGAATTGTAAACTAATTCTGTTTTATAACTACATAAAATAGGATATAATGCAAACTATATATTTTTATACTTATATCCTACTAAAAAATATTGTAATAATTCAACAGGCAGTCATGCTTATTATAAAGGGGCCCATTTTTCACCCGTCTGACTATATAGAAAGAATATGAACAGAGACCGATCATCAAGGAAAATCCTCACTTTGCCGCCGTGGAGAACGTGTCACGTACCACACACTGACGTCAAAACAGGTAGTAGGCAGCTATCAAACAGGGAGGTACTACCGCCTGGGAAGTTATTGGAATCATAAGGTGTTGTATAATGGTAGGCCCTGCTGCCATATGGCATCACAAAGTGACCAAGTCCCAGAAGCTGATCTGACTTTCTGCCTCATTTACACACAATTGTAGGGATTCAATTGTTTCTCTTACTATTGACAACACAACATACATACTGTCGTTTCTCACTATTGATCTTTTTATCTTAATTTTTATGTTTCTTTGTGGTCTTTATTATTATTTGTTTTATTATTAATTATTAGCAGCAGTAGTTTTATTATCTTATTATTTTATTGTTTTTATTTTTAAATATGTATTTTATTAGAAATGTTATTTATGAATATTATTATTATTATTATTATTATTATTATTATTATTATTATTATTTATTATTATTACATTTTCGCCCCCCAGGCACCGGTGGGCTAATCCCCGTATTATAAGTGTCAACACGAGCCATGCAGCCTACACGGAGTTTGGATTTCTTTCGTGGGAGAGAGACGTGGTATAATGTTGCATACCCAAAACAGTGTGGTTGATCATGTATTCTGTGATGAGTTCCCTGCTACAAGATGTCGATGGTCTGTACACTAGTATCTCTTTAACAAACCTGCTGCCTCTCTTCATTCTATCGTTAACTGTACATTTATGTCTGTCACTCCAATGAAAGATTCTTGACGCGTACAGGTTAGACCCCTAGGATACTACTGTATATTTCTGACCGATATCTTTCTCATATCTGACGTACCGAGGTTAAAATACGCTGCAGAGAGCTCCAGGTAATTTACTGTATAACTGAGAAAAACGTTTCACACTTCACCCGACCTTTTAAGAGGATGTAAACAGACACAAACACATACTAAAGGCAGGTTAAAAACACATACCAGTAAAACAAGTGATTAAGAGAGTATCGTCATCACCAGATTGACTCACACTTGTGGACCGCGATAAGAAGTTTCGAAACATCCGGTCACGTCATTTCCTAGATAACTTCTGAACAAATCCCCCCCCTCCAACACCCCAACCTCCTCCTTCCACCACACACTAACGTATACGCGTAAACTGGTAGACTCTATGACTCCATTGTGTCTTTACTTACCGCTCAACAGTATCATAGCATTTGACCACAAGAACCTCGTGTAAATTTCGCTGCAAAAAATCAATCAATCAGTGTGTGTGTGTGTGTGTGTGTGTGTGTGTGTGTGTGTGTGTGAGGGGGAGGAGATAGAATAGTCTACTAAGTGTTACGGGACTCACCTGGGGATGGGGTTGCTACTGAAGTCGGCCACCTGCAGGGCCTTCAGGTTCTTTATGTTGTCGGGGATGTCCGGGATGTCTGCGGGAGAAAAAAAATTGTCAATAGCACACACGTTAATAATTAATGCACTGTTATTTAAAGTACTTTCCTGGAACATTTCACGTATTTCTCATCAATGGTATATAAACTAGTGTCATCTGTAAGCTTCCAACAACAAAAACGGTATAAGTATGTCCTAACCAAACTTCAATACTGATTTGTGGTCACACCATGGATTAATACACTAGTAGAGATAATAACTGCTTTAAAGTGTGTGATCATACATTTGTTCTTCTGGCATCTCTCTTTAACCATACAGTCTGCATGTTGGAATTATGCCACTGAAGTTTTGTCTCCCGAACTCAGTGTGTCAACCTGTTCGTGTACCTGCCAACACCTGTGCTTAGCCGTCTATCTATTCAATAACTTATCTTCTTATTCTCGTGGCTGCTCATATGACTACCTACTTTCTGGTTCACTCGGAGCCCTCCGCCACTACAGTAACCATGAACACACAACTTGAAACAGCATAACGTCAGTTGTAAAGAATGCAAGTGACAACACAATGGAAGTGGTGGTGCAGGTTGACCTGGAGGAGGGTCACACTGAAGCGGACCTGTCAAATAAACCCAAACCTCACCTATCTTAACCATTACGTTAGGATTTCATGTTTAATAAGTCCCAATCCTAATGGGTTAGGTTAAGCTAGGGTAGGATAGGTTAGGTTTGGGTGTATTAGCACATAATTAAGTCCATTTGACCTGTGCTACACGGCAATGGTCCGCCCCTCACTCACACGCACTACCAAGTCATCATTTCAATATAGTTACAATTCTTTAAAGTCTAAGACACAGTCTAAGCAACAATATATTCCCAATATTGACCGGTGAATATTGAATACTGGCGGTCAGTTGGTACGAGTGACTAGATACATGCTTCGAGTTGTTCGACAAATGATAGTTAAGAATACATGTAATGGACTTACTATTCCAGTTGTGGAACAAGGACACATATACCCAGTAATGATTTATCATCGGGGAAATTAAGTCTTTATGAGAATCAATGGTGTTACTGGCTGCCCCTTTCCAAAGTCCCACAGGCCTGCCAACTGTTTACGAGGTACACAGATGTGTGCGTCAGAGGGCTCAACTTCCCAGCGATGTATTCCCCACAACTTGGGAAGCTGCTGGTTTCTTGGGCTGTACCAACATAAAACTACTATACATGTTTTATTCGTCTAATAATCAGTTAATAATAAATTTACCATATCTGACTTAAAACTTCGTATGAACTGTAAATGAATCTCTCTACTGAACGCACTTTTTTTCTGCTTCAAACTGGTGATAAAATCCATATTTTTACTACACAGGTACAATATAAAATACCCAACGATGATAAAAAGTAAAAGCAAAGATTTTTGTTCCCATGAGTCCAACGAGACTTTTGCTTACAGTCATTCACAACACAATTAGCAAACAATTGCGCTCAATAATAATATAAAAAATGGTGGACTCCCACTTCTCCGGCTTCTGTAGTCAACACAGTAAAAGTTGGCGTATTTCTTTTATCAAGACAGTCTTATCACTCAGCAATAACAATGCACTCACTGTGTACAGTACGTGTAGACCTGTAACACAGTCGACAGTCTATGTTAATGTATAACTTCATGGTTAAGACATAAGCCAGTCAGTGATTGGACGAGCCGTTTCCCTTTACGAATACCCCTGATGCTCGGTCTTTAAAGGGTCAAACCTCCCCCAACCCCCCATCCACCACGGTCGACAAATCACCAATGACGGATTACCAGATGTGCCCGACGCGCGAGTATCTGCTCCTGCAAAGACAGGAAACCATCTGTGGTTCACGAATTATGTATCTAACCTATACTGAACCCAAAGCTTCTCGAAATAATAACTGTAAACTGAATTCCACTCATTCCACCTGCGGGCATCCATTATAAAACAAACTTACAGGATTTGATCTCAAAACTAGCAGCTACAGGGGGTTAACAAAATTATAGATTGGGCACATCTCTCGTTATACAGGGGGAGGTCAGGCAAGCGGTAAAAGACGTAAGCACAAAGGAGAAATTGGCGACTAGTAATCGTCATCTCGGATACATCCATAACATGGATAATAACATGAGGGAGGAGACTTGCCGTCGCAGCGTCACGCTTGTCACGCTTGAACAGCATGGTGACCTTGATGCTAGTTTTAGGCCTGACCACCACTGTGCTGACACAAGGCATTTTGTCGCTGTACTACTTAATATTTATGTGGTAAAAAAAAAATAAAAAAATAATAAAATTGCTAAGGCGTGGAGATACTGGGAGCCTCACCAATCGACACAAGCTATATCAACATTATTTTGTATTCATCATCAGATTTACAAAGTTGACATTTTAAAACTAATTTGTATTGCAATTAAGTCACGCAAAATATTTGCTTCCTTTTTTTCTGATATTATTTTCCGAACCGTCGACCTGTGTGGAGACTTTGATACTGTTGATTCCATTTGTGAAATGGACGTCGGGAAGCCATAATGGACTGGACTAATAGAAAACCCATTCATAACAAAGTCTGAGAGAGAGTTTCCTGGAGGAGAATTCCTGATGGCATGAACCAAGTTTGTGTGTGTTGGTTGGATGTGATCATCACTACATTGTATCTGTGGACTACTTTATAAATAACGCTGCCAGATCCATACTAATTATTATAGAAAGATAAGCAATGACTCTGCACCATGATTACCAGTTTTAACCAAAGTACTGATGACAGAAGAAAAACATAATAACAATAGCATGCAAATGAATTTTGCTAATGATTCCTTCCAGTTCCAATAGATCTTGGTCAACATCCACATTTCCTTTCTGGTTCATTGCTTCAAACGCGGAAACTAACTAACAAATACTGACATTATATCCCACAGTGTCTTCAAAATCGACCGTACCGGCTTAGTATGAAACCTCAACCCCCACGTCCCAGTACTGTACCGCCACCACCCACCAAGAACCTCCTGAGATTATAAGGATTCTGGAAGCCGTGATCTGGGCCGTTTTAACAGACCACACCGGGGCAGGCAACACATACCTTATCAACTGCTCCAACTGTGTGAAGCGGTAACACCAAAGCTAAACCAGCCAATATCCGATACACCAATGCTTGCCGGCGTCTTCATTATCATGGCCTCGCTTATTCACCTATTGATTAATCCAACACCACGACCAACGTCTCTACAATCTTAGTGAGACTGAAAAGTTGGCTCAGGGGTAACACTGAAGCGTCACATCCGCACAGGTACACACACATGGCAATTAACAAGGTTGAGTTTCTTCCACACATGTGTTTGTGCTAATTAGAGTAATAAGCAATGTAAAGTTTTGTGGTAAGTGTTAGAGGAATCGCTAATGACGGTAATTATGAATGTGTATAAACTGTGATGCTATGGAGAAGGAACGTAAATATACCGAAGAGGAGAACGAAGGGAGAGAAAAACAAACAAGACAAAGGCTACGGAACACACGTAAAGAGGAAGAGAGAAAAGCATGAGGAGACGGAAAGAAAGGAACATCGAATATGAAGAAATTTCAAACAGAAGGAACCAAAGGGAATCACAAGACTAATTGCGGGCATTAGGAACGTTGAGAACAGAGACAGGTTAAAGCATCTTGATTTGCACTCCCTCGAGAGACGTAGAGTGAGGGGCGATATGATCGAGATGTATAAATGGAAGTCAGGGCTAAACAAAGGGGACATTACAAAGGTACTCAAACTATCCAACCAGGAGCGAACTCGTAACAATGGTTTTAAATTTGACAAATTTAGATTTAGGAACGAAATAGGTAAAAATTGGTTTGAAAATATACTGTAGTGGATGAGTGGAACAAGTTACCAAACATCATCATTAACTCGAATACGCTGGATAGTTTCAAACACAGGTTGGACGGATATATGAGCGATAGGGGTTGGGTGTAAATGGGAATGGCCAGTATGAGCCAATAGGCCCGCTGCAGTTTCCTCCATTCTTACGTTCTTATCAGCGCGCGCGCGCGCGCGCGCACACAAGCGCGCACACACAAGCGCACGCACGCACGCACGCGCACGCACGCACGCGCACGCACGCACGCACGCACGCACACACACACACGAAAGAGGATTGCGATAATGATGAGCAGAATGGGAAAAAGTAAAATCAAGAAAGATCCTGAGAAATGTAATCACAAGAAAAGAATAAGAAGAGGAGGGGAGACAAAGAGTGAAAAGAATGGGAAGAGGAAGGAGGACGAGAAGGATAAAAAGAGTCAACAATGGAGGCTTCAGTGCGCAGCCCCTAGTGATGTTCACGCTCAGGTACCTACAATATGGTGCTCTCTCTCTCTCTGCCCAACACAATATTTATTGACAGTGGTGAGCGGTGGTACAGGCAAACACGTCACGCAACACGGTGTCATACCATTCCGATGAGTCTCACAACCAATAACTATATTGGTTCTCCCCAGGTGGGTGATATGTTGCAATAAATAAATCACCGTGAAGGAACCACTACCTAGTATAATGTCAAGAATTTAGGGGTTTACAAAATATTATGTTTCCGTAATAAAGAAATATAAGACGTGATGAATCAGAAATAAAAGTTGCATCATTTAACTCTCCATATTTGTTTTATATATATAATCAAAGCTCCTTTCAATATAAAAATTAACTTTTTTATAAACAAATAAACTTAGAAAACAATTTCATTATGTGTCGTCCTGTTCAACAGCCCACAGAGCAGCTTTGTATTTTGTCAGAAGTGTAAGTTGCAAGACTCCTCTTTTATCTGCTCACGCCACTGTAACTTCACTCCACAACAATAATGATATATACAACTGTCGTTTTTGCTGTTGAAAAGCCTCTTATAAACGTAGGTTAACTGACCAAACACAGTGGTAAGTACATAACAGGGTTGGATCTTTCGATGGTTATATTGGTCCTTCACATTACCGAAACACCCGAGTGCCTTTGCTTGTAATAGCATATACAGTCGTGCTCTACAAGGAGAAGGCGTTTGATACAAATTATGCTGAGAAACTTTACGTCCCCTGAGTTGTGTAACGATAAAATAAGACAGCTTTCTCGTGTGGTGCAGTACCT